GGTGGAAAAAAATTAACACCTTGTTAATGTTCTAATGTACAGTAGTTCTACATCGTCTATAACAATAATTGTTAAGCAATAACAAATGTTATATAAAAAACTTAAACTGTATAAAAACATAAGTATAGTATGTGAAATCTCAAGTGGTTAACAACTGAAGCTTGCCGGCGGGAAAGAACGGAAACTAAGCCACATCAGTCATTTAGCTACAATTGGTATTTGTATTTCGAGATATTAGAATTTACGGTTACAAAGTTGTTTTTACTGTATCTTTATTGTGTCAGACATAACTCTCTTTAGATGAGTAGAATCTGTCAGACTTTAAATCTGAAGGTACTCATGCTCCACACGATGTGACTAAAAACTGAATATAACTCTCTTTAGATGAGTTGAATCTGTCAGACTTTAAATCTGAAGGTACTCATGCTCCACATGTGACTAAAACTGAATATAACTCTCTTTAGATGAGTTGAATCTGACTTTAAATCTGAGGGTACTCATGCTCCACATGATGTGACTAAAACTGAACATAACTCTCTTTAGATGAGTTGAATCTGTCAGACTTTAAATCTGAGGGTACTCATGCTCCACATGTGACTAAAACTGAATATAACTCTCTTTAGATGAGTTGAATCTGTCTGACTTTAAATCTGAAGGTACTCATGCTCCACATGATGTGACTAAAACTGAACATAACTCTCTTTAGATGAGTTGAATCTGTCTGACTTTAAATCTGAAGGTATTCATGCTCCACATGATGCGACTAAAACTGACTCATTAACTGTACTCAGTCAATGCCTGGCGCTTACTGTCAAAAATTAATTTATTGCATTAGGTTACCTTCTGTGTGTGATTACTAGTGCAAACACGAGCACATTTCCTTCCCAGCCTCTTTAATGGTGTAATAAACAGGACAATAATTACAGTGGTTCATATCTCTCTCTCTCTCTCCAGGATAAAGTTACTGAACAAGCAAATAATTAACTTCTGCTCTGTAGCACAAAACTACAGAATGGGCTATCCAAACAGTGCCCACTACAGGTATCGAAACCACGTTTTTAGCATTATAAACCTTCAAGTTACTGCTGTGCCACTGGTGGACACTTCTCCTTAGTAACTAAATATGCCATCATCAATTAAGAGATGTACACGATCATCCCAATGAACACCTATGTCAAATGTAGAAAAAAATTACCAATCAACTCTTTTTTTTTTTCTTTATGGTCTGGCTGTGGATGAAACAGTAAAGTCCAAGTTTGATGGATCTCCAGTGATCCACAATGAATAATAATATTGGCTCTCATAATTAGCATTGTGGGCTTTACGAGTACTTCCTTCTTTAGGGCAGTGTGTACTGCTTCGTGTATTTACATCAAGATGTAAAAAGATTGGGTAGTGTAATTACATTTTTAATTGATGTAACAGACATACATACGAGTTAAAATCAAAAGTAGAACTTTGTCACACACTATCTTTTTCAGTGGCTTCTAAGTGATGCATCAACGTGGATTATTAGGTAACAACACGTGATATTCATTGATAGGGCAGTACAAACAGCTGTGTTCAAATCTCCAAAAGCACCCCAAAGACTCGTGAAAATTAATTGAAGTTTAAAGCTGTTTTTAACCAATTTTATATGTTCATAACCTGCAATACGGTCTTCTGAAAGATAATACCATTTAATGACTGATCTATCTCACCATACATAATATATTTCAGGCAACTTTTATAAAGATTACTCGAATTTCTCAGAGTGAATGAGGTTTTGAGGTGTATATGAATGGATATCAAATGTTTTTTTTTTGTTGTTGTTTATTCAAGTAATCCTTTAATGTATGGGATAACCGTGGTTACTTTAAGACTTTGATAATTATATCTACTCAATTTATTAAACAAAACAAACCAAAACACTTAAGACAATTTTTTTGGGGTCACAACTGCAGTTGAATTAATGAAACATTTATTAGTTTATATAAATAGTACATGTTTTCCTACAAATACTAGAAAACCAAGGTTCACCATTCTATCACTGATATTTAAAGAATAAATACGTTGCTAAACGATGTATTCATTTCCGACATTCAACTTCAGGTTTCTTTCACATGGCCTTGCATTCTAGGTTTAAACATTTTATTTGGAGTACATCTAAAGTGAAGAAATACACGTAACAATGTTTTCATCATCATATTGCAATGTTCATTAGACAAATGTAACATTACAAACAACACTTGAGAGCATCATGCTTATAAAGTGTCAGGATTCACTGTCTAATACCTCAATGGCGGTACCTCACGCCTCTGCGGAATGCCTCCGGGAACGCGGTCAAGGTTCCTTCGGTGATACCTCGACCGGTGGTTGGCGTCCAATGCCGAGGCTTTCCGCGTACATGTACTTTGGTCCAAACATGGGCTTTTCTTCAGACAACCATGAAATGTATATAGATGGTGTTAAGAAACTATTAGTGAAAAGATTTGGTTCGTGACGTGCAGATGTGTTTCTAAGATTTCACATACGTTTGTGTTTATTACAAAATATCAAATAACGTGTGCAATGAAATCAAGCCAATTTTTACCAATAATGTCACAAAATATACAAGAATATAAAACACGTTTATTGTCTACTAAAAGTTAAAGTACATTCATTAAATACTACATACATGGATAACATTTTATAGAGCTTACACACATAGGATGTACACATTTATACAGAATATAATTCCACTCAAATTAATCTAGCGCCGTCGATTTCCAGATTTTGGAGAAAAGACGCATCAGCAACTCGGGTCTTGTCAGAATTTAAAATAAAAGAAATCTACTTTGAAGAAACAAAACACAAAATTAGGTAATAGAGAAAATATTGGAGACATGTTCTTTTAACTTTTAGTATTAACATTCAAAATGTAATTGTAACTTCAGAGCAAAACAACTGTCATACAAAATGATTTCAATCAATTAGATTATAAACTAATCAAAAAGCATTCCCTGAATCACATTGCTATACCATTTCTAATTACAAAACTACGTGCCTATACATTATCTCATGTATTCTCAGTATCCAGCTACAGTTGATATATCTTACATAAACCTACCTCGTCTATTTTTATGATTTGTTTGTTGTGTTCAGTACTTAAAGAAATATATTCTGTATAAAGTTACCACATGTAGCTAATGATTTGTTGTTGTGTTCAGTACTTAAACAGATATATTCTGTACAAACTTACCACATGTACCTAATGATTTGTTTGTTGTGTTCAGTACTTAAAGAAATATATTCTGTATAAAGTTACCACATGTACCTAATGATTTGTTTGTTGTGTTCAATTACTTAAACAGATATATTCTGTACAAACTTACCACATGTACCTAATGATTTGTTTGTTGTGTTCAGTACTTAAACAGATATATTCTGTACAAACTTACCACATGTACCTAATGATTTGTTTGTTGTGTTCAGTACTTAAACAGATATATTCTGTATAAACTTACCACATGTACCTAATGATTTGTTTGTTGTGTTCAGTACTTAAACAGATATATTCTGTACAAACTTACCACATGTACCTAATGATTTGTTTGTTGTGTTCCAGTACTTAAACAGATATATTCTGTATAAACTTACCACATGTACCTAATGATTTGTTTGTTGTGTTCAGTACTTAAACAGATATATTCTGTACAAACTTACCACATGTACCTAATGATTTGTTGTTGTGTTCAATACTTAAACAGATATATTCTGTATAAACTTACCACATGTACCTAATGATTTGTTGTTGTGTTTATTACTTAAACAGATATATTTTGTAGAAACTTACCACATGTACCTAATGATTTGTTGTTGTGTTCAGTACTTAAACAGATATATTCTGTATAAACTTACCACATGTACCTAATGATTTGTTGTTGTGTTCAGTACTTAAACAGATATATTCTGTATAAACTTACCACATGTACCTAATGATTTGTTGTTGTGTTCAGTACTTAAA